ATTTACCTTACAATGGAGGGCAATAAAGGAAACCAAGAACATTAGGAAATCACCCCTCACCCTGTATCCTGACATTTCTTGGATGAGTTACCAACTGACCCCTCCAGACAGTGGCCGCATCCGGACCAGGCAGCGCGGGATCGATGTGGGTGATGGAGGAGGGTGCTGAGTGCCGGGGCAGATCTCTGTGCCGGGCACCTGCTGAGGCATTACCGCTCTGATCAGCTGCAAATGTTGTTACTAAACTTGGTACCGCAGCTGCCTACAACTTCAGCAGATGTTTCTCATTTTTAACACAGTGGAAATTTCTTGAATCACTTTTAAACTCAATTCCCAGGGAGGAAACCTCGAGTGACTCATCCCTCAATGAAGCCATTGGTTCTGTGGCAGATATTATCTGACAGAGGAGCCCAATGAACTGTCCAGCTCACTTGTCTTCTCGCTCCCGTGTGCCAAACAATCGTCCTGTATGGATCAAGTGTCCTAAATACCGAAAGGGAGAGATTTGATCCACCCTTCCCTTCCTTCTCAGCCCCATTCCCTCTGCTGGGACGGCTGTTGTTAGGGAAGGGAGCCCTTGCACAGTAGGGTGAGTCAGTGATGGAGATGGACCAGGAGTGATGTTCCAGCACCTCACCTACCCGTGCAGCCTCTGTTTTGTATGAGCTCACCCTCAGCCTGGGGCTTACTGTTGGCTTCAGGCAAGGATTTGGCTCCCGTTGGTGTCCCTGCCGGTGGCTCAGCTGGGAGCATCCAGGGACATCACAGAATCTCAGAACTGTAGTGGTTGAAAAAGACCTTGAAGATCACTGAGTCCAACCATGAACCCAACACTGCCAATTCCACCTCTAAACCATGTCCCTCAGCACCTCAACTACCCATCTTTTAAATCCCACCAGGGAAGGTGACTCCACCACCTCCCTGGGCAGCCTGTTCCAATGTTTGACCACTCTTTTGGTGAAGTTTTTCCTCATATCCAATCTAAACCTCTCCTGGTGCAACTTGAGGCCATTTCCTCTCATTCTATCACTTGGGAGAAGAGACCCACCCCCACATCTCTCCACCCTCCTCCAAGGGACTTGGACAGAGCCAGAAGGTCTCCCCCCAGCCTCCTTTTTCTCCAGGCTCAACAACCCCAGTTCCCTCAGCCGGGAACTCAGCACACTTGTGCTCCAGACCCTTCCCCAGCCCTTCTTTGGACCCAATGGGTGTCTCATCAGCATGGGGCAGTGGTGGGTGACATAGGGACCATCCCAGCTCCGAAATATTCTGCTCTGCTCAGCTGAAAGTCCCTGCACCTTTGGGATCCCTTTCTTGCAGGGAATTGGTCTAAGGAGACCAAAACTCAGTTGGTTGCTCAGAGTCCAGGGGATAAATGGTGTCTGTAAATGTGTGCATGGGTGGGACGTGGTCTCATGGGAGGAGGGAGAGGGTCTCACAGAGCAGGTTTTCTCTGCAATAGGCTGATGGGTGGTTTTCTGTTCTTCCTTCAGGTTCTGCTCCACCCCAACAGTGGGGCAGCGGGGAAGGATGGGGAGATAGAGACGCTGAGGCTGGGTCAGTACAAGGCGTTTTACACCACAGGTACAGTGTCCCTTTTAGAGACTGTAAAGTTGGGGGAAAAAAGATTTCTGGAATTCTTGGTTCCCTGCAGATACAGGTAAAAACCAACTCAGGTAAATTCAAGCAAGAGCAAACCCAGGGAGGAGTAAGTACGTGACCCTCTGGGTCTGTGTGATGGGCTTCACAGCCTGGGGTTGGTGGCCTTGGAAGCACTCTGGGACCAGCAGCAGGAGCTGGGCTGCCAAAGCTGGGACGTGGTGGGACTGGGCTGTCACAGACGGGTGAGGAGCACAGAGGTGATCCCTGGGCAGGCTGAGACTCTGGTGTTTTTCTCTCCTTTCCTCCCTAGGAGGGGCAATGGCTTGTGATGGGAGCATTGGGCCAGCTGAGCATCACCAACCACCTCTCATTTTCAATCTGGATCGTGATATCCAGGAGCAGGAACCTTTGGATGTGACATCCAGCGAGTATCAAGCAGTGCTCCCTGCAATCAGCAGGGCTTACACCCAAGCTCTGGAGGACATCAAAATGGACAACATCTCAGTTGCAGATTATTCCAAAGACCCGGCTGTGACTCCCTGCTGCAACGCTCAGCACGTGGCCTGCAGATGCCAAGGGTCCTGGTCTCAGGCAGCCGTGCTGGACCATCACATGGGAAAAAAAGCAAAGTGGATTTGTCTTTAAGCAAATAATTTTTCAGGCTCCTCCTTTCCTGAGTCTGGTGTCTGTGGATGGAACTGTTGTGCATCTGGCTGTGGGCTGGAGGTTGGCCATGGAGGAGAGGGATGGAGGCTGCGGTCCCTTTGCTGTGGAGCAGGGAGGTGAGTTAGTTGTGGGTCTGTGTGAGCACAGGGAGGGTCACCCCCCAGCAGGACTGTCCCCTGTGGCTGGAGGAGCAGGGCATGGCACTACCTGGTGGCTCTGGGCATGTGGAAGGAGACAGGCTGTTTGTAGGACTCTTTAGTGGAGAAAGAGCCACGTCTTGGATTAAAAGCACCTTCTGTGAGAACTGGCTTTGGGAGAGAATTCCCCTGGGAAATTTGTGTGGTTTTCCTCTAAAATGGACCTTCCAGGAGCAGCAGGTGGGAGCACAAGGCAGGGGAGGATGGGGCCAACAGCATCTGAGCAAAGGTCCCTTCTGATGGTGAGACCCTGGAAACTTGTGGCTGCAGAGAGAAAATTCCTGGCCAACACAAGGCGACTGCTCCAGGAAATGGAGCACCTGCCAAGTGAGGTTTATTAACGGGGTTGTGTTAAAGATCCAACTGTCTGTAAAAGAAAGAGGCTCCTGAGCTCTCCATGGCTGCTGCCCTCCTCATGGGCAGGACATCAGGCTTGACTGGTGACAGCTTTCCATTGCCACCACGGAGATCAGGGATTGTGCCCAGACAAGCACCCCAGTCCCGGTGTTTGGGAAAGACTTTTTTTTGGGGAAGGTGTAGGAGAGAGATGTGCAGTGCAGAACTGGGGTAGCTGCTCCCCATCAACTCTACATGGAAAGACCAATGGTGTAACTGTATTTTTAGGGAGGTCACAGAGTGGTCCCCGCCCTGGGGTCTCCCAGCAGATCAGGGGTCCAGGCAGAGAAGCTGTTCCTGCCCATCCCAGTGTGATGCCGGGGGCGTGGATGGGGTGAAACAGATCTTATAGAGCCCTTTCTGGGCAGATGCAAAGGCCTGGGGAGCTGCAAAGACAAAACTGAAGGTGCAACTGAAACTTAAACCACCAGGATTTCTCAGCAGCTGAGTTGAGGTTTTTCTGAAACAATTTTGGACTCTAATTTACACACCCAGACCTTTCTTTGGACAAGCTATAAATGGATTTGTGTGAACTTGGCCAGGAGCGTGGGGTGGAAGCAGCTGTCCTCACACCAGCCCCCCAAAACCCACTCTCCCACTCATAAAACTTCCTATTCAGAATCCCATAATTGCCCAGATTGGAAAAGCCCTTTAAGCTCATTGAGTCCCATCATGAACCCAACACTGACAAGTCCCCGACTAACCCATGTCCCTCAGCACTGTGTCTACACGACTCTTCAACCCCTCCAGGGATGGGGACTCCACCACTGCCCTGGGCAACCCCTTCCAATGCCTCAGAACCCTTTCAGCAAAGAAATTCTTCCTCACATCCAATCTAACTTAATCAAGGCTGACATCTTTAGGGCCCCACAAAGAACAGCAGAAGCAGGGGCAGCCAGGTGCCAGGGCCAGACCATGACTTTATTCTGTCTTTATAAACATGGCAAATGGCATCTCCTCTAATATCACTGCAAAAAATACTTTGCCTGGGTCATATAATATGTATATACTGTACAAAGACATAAGTTCAATATATCTTACTATAAGTACATTTATACACATAAACCAGCATAAATTAGAAAAGGGATAAACGGGTTATAGAAAATTCTGGTTACATACAAATCTGATTAAATTAGCATGTACATTGTGGTTCTAACATAGATAGTTTGTTAAATATAGTGATGTGCATACAGTACATTGACACCCCCCACCCCACCCCCCCAGACACAAGTTAAAACAAGGGGCTAATGGAGCCAGGGACTCACTTCAACATACCATAAGAAAAAAGCAGTGGCCCACCTTGGATTGGGGGGTTTTTTTTGTTTGGTTTTTTTGGGGTTTTTTTTGTTTTCCTCATCTTGGGGACTCACAAATGTGTTCTTCCAAAATTCCTGGCTTTTCCAAAGCACTTCCCAGCAGCTGTCCTAAGCACGGATGTTTGCTTCTCATCATGACCTCTTCGCTTTGCCCGGTTGACCTCCACGGCACAAGATTATCTACCAAAATCAAAACAGAACGGCCTTACTTTTCCCAGCAACAGGGTGTGTTTCAAGTTGGTTTTTTTTACGCACATGGGAGGAGAAGGGGGAGGGATGTCCTGCAGTGTTTGACTTTCCATTCAAAGGCAGATTTGTGAGTGGTTGGTTGGTTTATTTATTTATTTATCTATTTGTATTTATTTATTCTCCCCCTCCCCAAATTTACAGTCCTGGGAACAGGAACCATCTGGCTGGGTGATAAGTGTGTCTTGGCTCTAGGTGGCATTGGGTTGAGCCCAACTAGGCTGGCAGGAGTTTGGTTACTGGGGGTGAGGTCTGTTTACCTCGCTAAGTCCTCCCAAAAAGTTCATCTCCTGGCATGTGGGAGGGGAAAGGTGCATGTCATGCATCACCGTGTCTCTCCGGGGTCTCCAGGTGGAGCCCAGAGTTGAACACCTACATGTTAGCCTGGGTTAGGTGACGAGAAGCCTGGCCTAAGTATCAGCAAAACCTCTGAGTGAAAGAGTAAAGCAAGAGCAGAGAAGAAGAGGCAGCAGTGAGGACCCTGAACCACTTCACATCAGCTACTCTGACACCACGGGACGAGGCTGGAGAACCTGGGTAAGATGGGCACCTACTCCTGGATGAGGCTTGGGCAGAGCTGCGGGGCTGCCCCAGCACCTGAGGTGGGTGCATCTCTGGACACCAGCCACGAGCCAAAGCACAGATCTCCCCTTGCTCATTCCCAGCCTTGCCAGGCATGACCTGCATCTCCCAGCTGTGCGGATGTGATCCCAGGAGGGTCTGTGCCAGCTCCTCCTCCTGGGATCTGTCTTCTCCATGGGCTTCAGGACCATCACTTGCCTAGTTCTGAGGCACAAGCATTGGCACTGGATTGCACGTTTCCCAAGGAAGCTCAGATAATGTACTGGTCCTTGCTCATTCCCAGCCTTGCCAGGCATGACCTGCATCTCCCAGCTGTGCGGATGTGATCCCAGGAGGGTCTGTGCCAGCTCCTCCTCCTGGGATCTGTCTTCTCCATGGGCTTCAGGACCATCACTTGCCTAGTTCTGAGGCACAAGCATTGGCACTGGATTGCACGTTTCCCAAGGAAGCTCAGATAATGTACTGGTAAACTGGGCTTAATCCTGCAAGTCCCAGCTGCCCAAAATGCCTGTCTGAGCTGCCAGGGCAGGAGCTGCCGTGAGGAAGAAGAACCCAGTCAGGTTCTGCCAGACTTGCTCAACCCCCATGAAACATGATGACTAGTAGAGCTTCGCTGCAAAATCTATGGCCTTTCCTCTGCTAAAAAAGGAATAACCTAAAATCATTAGTGTTGTATATCCACACAGCAGAACGAGTGAAACACCATCCAGCAAACTGTGAGGAGGAACTTGGGCAAAGACCAGTCCCACGGAGCTGAAGAAGCCTCTGCAAGCTGGTTGCTTGTATTAAGATCTGTGGTTTGGAGCAGTGGGGATGTGTGGACCCCACGCCGGGGCACTGATTTCTCCCCCCTGCAGACAGCAGTGCTGCCAGGGTGGGGATGTCTTGCTGTCGAGGGTGGCCGTGGTGCACGGGCTGCTGGAGCTCCTGCTCCTACCCATCCTTCCAGGGAGTGGGAGCTCAGCGTGGGGCCACTGACAGCTGCTGCTCACTGCTGGGGGGAGGTTTTATTCCACCCTGAACACCCCATAATGAACGATGCATCAGAGCCACGGGCACACACGGGCAGCAGCATCCTTTGGCAGCCCGGGCAGGTTGCCCAAACCAGTTTGGAGGTAGCCAAAAATCCATGTGAGAGATGGTTTTTTAAGACTGTGTATCAGTGAGGGGAAGCTGTCTTTGAAGAGCTGAGTGCTGTAGACAATCTAGCCTGACCTAATGAAACGGCTCTCCTGATAAAGCCTTCACATCAGCCCTGGTCCTGAAGCTGACAAGCGTCAGCGTGCAGCCAAACACAGGAGGGATCAGGTAGGCTTGGAAAAGTACCAAGCAATCTGCTGGGAGAAATCA